AGTGTTCAGCTAATTAAGTCGAAACAATTCATAGGTTGGCTTTGAAATTCCAAAGCAAGGGCAGCTCACCCTGATACATGTTCAACACCCTTTAGTTAAGGCTGCTTTTTTGTTTCCTTTCAAAACCCCAATTAGGTCAAACACGTAGTACATGTACAGCAATAATTAAAAATATTTGGTTTGAAATCAGAAATTCATTGTGGGCAAAGAAAATTGAGAATTTTTCTCTCTCTAATAATTAGACATTTGTGAGTAGAAGTCAGGAATTATTTCTCCTATACATTAACATTAGTAGAAAAGACAGCCATAATATACATTCCTTTTGGGTGGCTGTGATTCATTTTGTCCCTACACTCAATGAGTACTACGAAACACCAAGGTATTTTATTGTTCTTTTTATACAGATAAGGACAGCTTTTAAGTAAATGCAATTCTGAAGAATGCCCCCGTGCTTGGTACACTTACCAAATCTCTCTCTCTTTTACCTCACCCTCCCTTAAATTGGTACTATAAGACACTTAGGGGCAGTTTGGTTCGGGGTTAAGTGGCATTACTGGGGTAATGTCATCTTATATTACTTGATTACCACGTTTGGTTGTCAAGTAATATAAGATACCAGTAATCTTCAAATACCAATAGTGTTTACTATTGGTAATATAAGAGGTAATCTGATTACCTCCATTTTCTTAGGTTTTCTGAGATTACCGGGGTTATCTTTTTTTGTTACAATTTTATCCTTTATTAATAAAAATTTTGGACAATAATACCCCTACTTTAAAATAAATTTACATTAATATCCTATTTCAATTTTACCCTTTTTAATTAAAATTTTGGACAATAATGCCCTTATATTTAAAATAATTTACAGACCACCACTGCCACCAAGCCACCACCACCACAGCCACCCAGCCACCACCGCCGACAGCGGGTCAACCACCACGGACCACCGCCAGAAAATTGCCGGAGTCCCTAAAAACACTGGAAATTCTGTGGGAGGCTCCGGGAGGCTTCGCTATGGCCGTTTTCGGCCATATTGATGGCCGAAAACTGCCATATCGGGCCAGATCTGGACCAGACCTGGCCGTTAACGGCCACAGATCTGGCCGTTGGACCAGACCTGGCCGATAATGGCCAGGGATCTGGCCGGAAATGGCCAGAGTAGATCTGGCCATTTCCGGCCATATCGAAGCCTCCCGGAGCCTCCCACAGAATTTCCAGTGTTTTTAGGGGCTCCGGTGATTTTCCGGCGGTTGTTCGCGGTGGCGGCAGGCGGCGGCAGGAGGTGGGGGTGATTTCGTCATGAATTAAAGTTTTTTTATAAGCGGGGGTGTTTTAGCTAAATCTGAAATATTGGGGGTTAAAAATTTATTCAAAAATTAATAATAAAAATAATATTATATTAATATTTAAAAGAGGGTCAATTTAGTAATTTAAATAACATACCCACCAATTTATTCCCATAACCAAACATATTAATATAACATACCCACCAACTAACCAAACATATTTTCTTAAAGATTCCCAGTAATCTTCCAAGGTAATCTATCTTTCCAGTAATCCAATATTCCCAGTAATCTAACATTCCTGAACCAAACGCCCCCTTAGTAATATTAGAAATTTTTTTTTTAAAAAAAAAACATGGACAATCAAAGGAGACAAAAACAAACTTTTCTGTCATAAAAGTTGATTAAAGCTGACCCTAAAAGAAAAGCAAACAACATTGCCCAAATCCCAATGAAGAAATATGAAACTACTTTTTGTTTTAGAGAGGACCACTAAACCACATTACCACCTAAAAAAAAATTATAGCCATTGGTTGATCTTCTGTCAGTTTCATCCCCGGCCTAATCGGTATTAGCAAAAGCTTCTAGTTTGAAAGATTGTGTTTTAATAAAAAAAATACCATGGTGTAGATAACATATCTTAGGACCCTTTTTCAAGTTGTCCAATGAACTTTAGTAAGTTGCTGCAGAAATTGGCTAAGCTTGTTTACAGCTAAAGCTAAATTTGGTCTAGATAAGGTTAAGTATTATAGGCCATCAATGATGCTCCTATATAGAGTAAACTGATCAAATAGGTTACTATCTTCTTTGTCAAGTCTAAGACCAGTAGTCATAGGAGTAGAGCAGGGTTTGGATTCTGCCATTCCCAATTTATTAGAAGGTCTTGTGCATATTTGGTCTAAGTCAGAAGCAAACCATCTGCATTTCTTTTAACTTCAAATCCCAGAAAATATTACACTGCCCCAATAGCTTTGAGAGCAAATTTTTTTATCCAAGTCAGCAACTAGAGTTGAAATAAGCTGAGTACTATTTCTTGTCACAAGAATATCATCTACATATACTAGTAGATACATGAGAATATAATCCTTTTTATAAAAGAATAAATTAACATCTGAAAATGAATTTTCAAAACCCCAATCAACTAATGCAGATTTTAATTTATCGAACCAAACTCTAGAAGCTTGTTTGAGTCCATATAAGGCTTTATTTAGCCTACACACCTGCTGTGGATTGTACTTATTCCCTGCACAACTAGTGTAGCCTTCAGGAGGTAGCATGAATAGCTTCTCTGTTAGGTCTCCATTCAGGAGGTAGCATGAATAGCTTCTCTATTAGGTCTTCATTTGTTAATTTAGTTAAACACCAATTACAATATAAATTTTAAAATTAACAAAAATACCCCCACCGACCCATTAAATGTCAGCAGCCGACCACCAGGAATATGCGGATGGGTGTGAGTATTTTTATCAATTTATAAACTTTTATTTTTAAAGATGTTTAGTTAAATTAACAAATCTAAGCGGTTAAAAAAATCTAAATATTTTGAGTTGAATAAAATAAGATTAGATTTTGAAAATAATAAAACAAATATATATTTTGGATAGGATACGATAGGATAGGAAAAATTAAATAAACCCACCCTAGATTTTCTCTCTCTCTAATAGTTAGACAGTCGTGAGTGGAAGTTGAGGTTCATTCTCCTATACATTAACATTAGTAAAAAAAGAAAGCAACTATATACATTCCTTTTGGGTGGTTGTGATTCATTTTGTCCCTAGTCCCTACACTCAACGAGTACTACGAAACACCTAAAAAAGGGCTCTTTTTATATAGATAAGGACAGCTCCTAAACAAGGGGCTGTCTCCTTCAGTAGTGTTCATCTAATTAAGTCAAAACAATTCATAGGTTGGCCTTGAAATTCCAAAGCAAGGGCAGCTCACCCTGATACATATTCAACACACTTTATAGTTCATACTAGCATTGCATATTACCTGAAATAACGTCCTCCGTGAGGCAGATAAAAGCTTCCAAATTACTCTCTCTTTTTCCTTATAAGGAGCGGCTCTATTTTTCATTTTATCAAAGTTCTAGACCCCCTCAGCTTATATTGATATTTAAAAACCTCTCTACTTTCAGAAATTACACTTAAGCCCCTATGGAATACGGATCTGTCACCTAACACCCTAAAATCAATTAATTTCCTTATTTCTATTTTCTTTTCTGATTTCAATAAAAATAAAATATAAAGAGAAATTATTAAATAACCCTATTTCCATGTGCGAATTGAAAAATAGTCTATCAATCTAGGGTTACGTTGAATTGAATTTAGCTCCTAATAAAGTATGGGACAATGCTAAAAAAAAAGTGAATACAATAAAACCTCTCAATAGTGATATTCTATATATGAATAATCTTCATATAAACATAATAAAAAGCTTGCACTTTATTATTTAAGAGCTCAATTTTCATTCATTTGAATCTAATATTTGAAAGTTTCTTTAATACATAAACAGGATTACAGTTATTTAGCGAAGCTTGTTGTGAAGATCTTGGCACAGTTGTACGTGGCTTTATTGGTAAGTGTTTTTCTCTCCAAAATTCTTATTTTGTATGTGTTGTAATAATGAATCTCTGTGAAATGTGAACTCAATGCGGTGTGATTTGTGCCATCAATTCTTACTGGTCATGTACTCATGTCGCTCCCTTCAATTCTTTATCTTTATCTTTATAATATATTATAATAATAATAATAATAATATTAAGGGGCTTCAACAATGTTTGTGTTACTGTTCTTTCATAACCTACGTCAGCAGTATTAAGAAGCATCTTGTGCTTACGTCAGCAAATCAACAGGTATCATGCGCCAACATACCAGACGTGGAAAAACTTGCAACTGTGACTCAGCAAAACTTACAATAACCTACCTCACCTTGCTATAAAATACACTTCTTCTCTCACACTAGCTTTGCATATACCTGAAATAACATCCTCCGTGGGGTAGATAAAAGCTTCCAAATTACTCTCTCTTTGTCCTTCTTGCATTTCATCATGGAGCAATTCATTTTCTCAAAGTCATTACCAGAAACGGCTATTGCTAAAAGGCTGTGCATCCCCATCGATGAACTTAACCAATTTCCTCCTTTTGTGGGCGGCAATCGCTTCCAAAATTTGATTGTTGAGGATAAGGAAGAGCAAGGGGTTCTATGGAATCTTCGTTTTTACGTGCAAGATAATGGGAAACAGCCTGTTTTGGCAGGCCAGTGGAAAGATTTTGTGAAGAGGAAGCAGCTTTAAGTTGGAGATGGAGTTCTTTTCTATAGGAACATTGATGCCAATGGACAAGTCGCCTACAAGATGAGACCATTCCATAATTTGATGGGGGTCTGAGCTGTGCTGCATTTCCTAGTAGTAATAGAGTTTCCCTTTTATTTGTGTGTGAGGGCTTTTTTTCTTTTTAATGTTGTCTACGTCTTTGCACCACAGTGTATCATTTTGTTAGGGTTTTGACAGAGGGTGCTAATGGAGTTTGCTATATTAATTGTACTTGTTCTTATGCGATATAATTCAAAAAAGAGTGTATTATACATAAAATTAGTTGAAAAGAGAACTATGCAAATGAAAAAGATATAGGTGTGGTGGAGCCGTACTGTTTGCTTTTTGAAACTTTATTTATAGCTAGGCAAAACAAATTAAATCATATTTACTTTGCTTTTGGATTCTTCTTTCTACTACATCAACATTCACCGCTCTGAGAGGTGATAAACTCTTCTCTTCATCCAGATCTCAAACTATTATCCAGGTCTAGCTATTTATTTTGCTTTTGGAAACTTGCTGTTGAGAAAATGTACTCATTTTTCGTTCTTCTTTCTTCTTTCTTTCTTCATCGGCCTCACAGGTGATAAACTCTTCTCTTCTTCCAGATCAATCCTTATTTATGTATTTTTATTTTGTTTTCCTTTCCTTTTCTTTTAGGTTTTGAAAAGGGCAGTATCTTTATTTTTATTTTTTTCTCTAAATTTTGTATGTCAAAATTTACATGGAAATCTATTTCTTTCGGCTTTTTAAAAGCTAGATCTAGTTTTTCTTCTTGAATTTCTGATGGTATAATATTTGATAATTAATTCTTCTTTAAATCGGTTGAATTGTCTCTCATAAACGCCACATGTGTCTCATTACAATTTAAATTCAGCAATTTATCTTTTTACTTAGACTTAAGAGAAAAGAAAAATACTTTTTAAGAACTAGATCCTTATGAAATTTAGTTTTTTTCTTTAATTTCTTACATGACTTTGATTTTTCTCAAGATCTTTTGAATTTTTTCTATTACATAGCGATTTATATTCTTTTGGATTTCTTTTTTGGGTTTTTTTTTGTTGAATTTCTGATATATATTCTTGGGACCCCAGGTGAAGTAACCGGCCACATTAAACAATTTTGTATAGTAATTTTATTAGAGTTCTTAAATTTATTATTTTTTTTGTATTGTAAAATAAGCATAAAGTTATCCTTTTTTATTCCCAATTTGGTGTTTATTTATTATTATAATACAAACAAATAATCAATAACAATGAATATTTATTTTTTTATTGATTATTATATAATAATCAACAAACAGTATGTTAAATAATTCTTAATTCAAAATTGCTTATCTAAAGTCTTTGTTGAGCGATTATCTAGATAAGCAATTTTGCATTATAATTAAACATTAAATGAAGCCTGAGTTTACATTACAATTACAAGGCTTCCTGGGTTAGTAGATGTACTATCTAGTTAGTTTACAGGCATTTGTTGTTTTTTTTTTTTTTTTTTTTCCCCAAACTGAGTCAGAAAGGAATTAACTTATCTTAGTGGTAATAAAATTAATTACTCAGTTACAATATATAATAAATGGCAGAACGTCTTTGAAACTTTATGACAAATAGAACCAGAAGCTAAACTTGATCTCAACCAGTCAGGATCACTTAGAGGAAAGAATAAGGTTAATTTATCTTCTTATCGATATTATATAAATATTAATGTAAATAGTTGTCTGTAGTTAAGTGTATATGCATGGATGCTATATAATAAGACATGTAAAAAATATACATATTATAAAGAGTGGCTCTATAACAATGAGGTTGATAAAACATTTTAGCTAGTCATTTTGTGAATGAAGATTCTAGTGGAATGTACTATTTACCACTACTGAAACTATCATTACTGACTGAATATTATAGATCCAGCCTTTAGATTACCATGGATGGAGCTTTTCTAAGCAATTTTGGCTGATCCAGTCCTTAGATCGGCGAGGAGAAAGGAAAAAGAGAGAAATATTTACTTTCCAGTTCCAGGTTCCATTCTTAATTCAAAAATATTAAGTTATTTCACCCATCCCTGTTAAGATTCTTACAGTACAAACCAGGGCATAATCTATGCAGTTCCTGTGTTGCTTTGTAGATGGGTATAATGTGTGTGGGTATTGGCCAAGGCTGAAGAAACATTTTAAGAAAGGAAGCCTAGATGTTACTCGCCAGAAGGTAATCGATGAACATGTTACATTTAGTATGTTTAGAGGTTAGTACTCTATATTTCCTTTTTACTTATATGATGAGGCTTCATTATATGATATAGCTCGTAGGAACTAGTACACCTTAGATTTTTCCCAGTAATTGATGGGATTCTCTTTGCATAGGTTGTTGAGTCTTGAAAATTATATTTGTACAAATGGATGAAAATCATAGGATTTATTAACCATAGAGAATCAGAAATAGTACTAATAGCTATAACTGATTAAGAAATCCAAAAACTTAGTATAACAAATGTCAAACTCTAGAAGATAATATAACCAAATTAAAACTAAGATTTGTAACATGTCACTTCCGCCTAATGAATACGGATGTATTTCAGAAAGTAGATTCCTCGATGGAAACGATAACTTGAAATTCATGTTCTTTCAGGATTTTGCTGTTATAGCTAGAATGTTTTGTATTGGCTCATGTTGAAATATTACAGTATGAACTGGTCTTCGTTGACAGTATCATTTGTTTCAACTAAGCAGTATAATGGTAAAGCCATATAGGTGGAGGCGTAAAGATAGTAATATTAGTCACAATCATTTTTCTTATATGTATTTATTCGTATTTCAACTATTAGAAATAGTGTTGACTTGATTCCATCTAAAGTGTCTGTGCTAATAATTTTCTGGTTATTTGTTTTCTATATGTTGAAGTCCCAACATCAGTTTTATCATTTCTTTAATATGTACAGAGGTGAAAGTGGTTGTTGTATTCGATGCTAAGTTGTCTGGACTCCCTACACACAGGGAAAGTTTTGCCGGGTATTATTTATGATCCTAAACCTTTGATTATTTTGTTTTTTGACTCTACTATTCTTATAATTTTGGTGTAAAAAACACATTCATATTCCAATAATCATTGATAATACAATCAATTTCTATATAAAACCTCCATGGAACATATGCGGAAGTAAATGACAAACCTCTAGCCATAGCAATTATTCTTTGATCTTCTTGCTCCTTTATAAATTACAGGATCTTTCACTGACTGCAATTTTGGGTGATGGTTTTTGGGAATCAATATGAAAATTGCGTCTAATGGGGACCTGTAAAGTCTCTTTCTTATGCAGTTGTTTTTCCATCAAAGACAACTGCTCAAGAGACACAAACGTATGACCACATCAACAGGGACCAAAATGTAATTATATGAGAAGTGTAGGACCATATTGTAAAAAGTCTAACATTCTCCCACTTGGTCCAAACTTGTATAATATAATCCAGAACACAAGAGATGTATATGCGGTATATTCAATTAGAAAGAGGAAAAAGTACATGAATCATAGCGGTAAGTCCATTTGAAACAAGTATTACCTTCCATGTATTACAATGCAATTTTACTCTTTCTAAATAAACGCTGAAATGTGGAATACCACTTTATGAACAAACCTCAAATGTTTGTTCTAGGTCCTCTAGAATGTTTGTTTGTCTCCAACCAAAATGTATACAACTTAAAAGAAAAAACAAACTAAATTACAAAGTTTCAGACAATGAAAGTATTATCTCTCATAGTGACAAAGCGGGACATAGTCCCATTTGAACAACATGATCCTTGAACGTCTTTGGTGGCATGCCTTTCGTTAGAGGATCAGCAATCATCTGCTCAGTATGTATGTGTTCAATGAGCACTTCTTTGGCTTTAACGTGCTCCCTTATTGCTAAGTACTTAATGTTGATGTGTTTACTTCGACTTCCACTCTTATTATTCTTAGCAAAGAATACAGCAGCTGAATTGTCACAATATAACTTTATTGGCCTAGAGATAGACTCAACAACTCCAAGCCCAGAAATGAAACTTCTCAACCAAATACCCTGTGTAGTTGCCTCAAAACAGGAAACAAACTCAGCTTCCATGGTAGAAGTGGCAACTAAAGATTGTTTGGCACTTCTCCAAGATATAGCACCTCCGGCGAGTATCCGGATGTTGATTTTCGAGAATCAACGCATCTAGCAAAGTTTGAGTCTGAATATCCGACGACTTCTAAAATGTCGGAACGTTTATAAGTAAGCATGAAACCTTTAGTTCCTTGAAGATACCTTATGACCTTCTTTGCAGCTCTCCAATGATCCAAACCTGGATTACTTTGATATCTTCCTAACATGCCAACTGCAAAAGCGATGTCAGGTCTAGTACAGACTTGAGCATACATTAGGCTTCCAACAGCTGAAGCATAAGGAATAGTTTTCATTTGTTCCTTTTCAATCTCAAGTGTAGGACATTGGTTCAGATTGAACCTGTAACCCTTAAAAATGGGTGCAACACTGAGTGAACAATCTTTCATTCTAAATCTCTCAAGAATTTTATTAATATAGGCTTCTTAAGATAGTCCCAAAACATGTCAAGACCTATCCCTATGAATCTTAATGCCAATGACATAAGACGCCTCACCCATATCCTTCATACTAAAATGTTGAGAGAGAAATTGTTTCAGCTCATGTAGCAAACCCACATCATTGGTTGCAAGGAGAATATCATCTACATATAACACAAGAAAGATGATTTTACTCCCACTGACCTTGTGGTATATACACTGATCCATGACATTCTCTACAAAACCAAATGAAGAGATAACAGTGTGAAATCTTAAATACCACTGTCGGGAGGCTTGTTTAAGTCCATAAATGGACTTCTTAAGCTTGCAAAACAAATGTTCACCATCACTTGAAATGAACCCATCAGGCTGTTTCATATAAACCTCTTCCTCCAAATTGCCATTGAGAAAAGCTGTTTTAACATCCATTTGATGTAAATCTAAATTGAAATGGGCAACTAATGCCATTATGATACGAAAGGAATCCTTTTTAGAAACTGGAGAAAATGTTTCTTTGTAATCTATTCCTTCCTTTTGCATGAACCCCTTTGGCGACAAGTCTAGCCTTGTATCTCTCAATGTTGCCTAATGAATCCTTTTTGGTTTTAAATACCCATTTACAACCAATAGGTTTCTTTCCAGTAGGCAAGTCAACAAGGTCCCAAACTTTATTATCCGCCATAGAATTCATCTCGTCAATCATGGCATTATACCACAATTCAGATTTACTGCTGTTCATAGCTTGTAAAAACGTGTCTGGATCATCCTCAATACCTATGTCACAGTCAGACTCTTGCATATACACTTCATAATCAGTAGGAATTGCTGATTTCTTTGTTCTAGTAGATCTCCTTAATGTTGTATCATCAGTCTCTTGAGACTGTTGCACAACTGGTTGTTCCACTTGTATTGGAGGTTGTTCAAAATGATCTTCTAAAACAATCGCATCAGAATGTGGATTTTGATTGAGTGGTTCCTCATTATTCACCCTGTTTGGATGAACAACCAATCTTTTACTTGATGTAAGAGCATTGTCTGAAACATCAATTTTCTCAAAGATTGAGTCTTTGATTTGATCACTCCCACTGACCACATCATTTTCAAGAAATTTGGCATTTCTTGATTCAACAATTCTACTGGAATGGTTAGGACAATAAAACTTATATCCCTTGGATTTTTTTGCATATCCAATAAAATATGCACTAATAGTCCTAGGATCTAACTTTTGTTCTTGTGGATTATAAACTCTAACCTCAACTGGGCAACCCCAGATGCGTAAATGACTTAAACTTGGTTTCCAACCTTTCCATAATTCGAATGGCGTTTTGGGAACCGCCTTAGTTGGAACTCGGTTTAATATATACGCTGCAGTTTTGAGAGCTTCAATCCACAAAGAATGAGGAAGTTTGGAGTTACTCAGCATACTCCGTACCATATCCATTAATGTTCTATTTCTCCGTTCTGCTACACCATTCTGAGATGGTGTGCCAGGCAAGGTGTACTGAGCCACAATACCTTGCTCTTGAAGAAATTTAGCAAATGGACCAAGTGCTTGTCCTATACCAGTGTATCTACCATAATATTCACCACCTCTATCAGATCTCACGATCTTAATTTGTTTTCCACATTGTTTCTCTACTTCTGCTTTATATATTTTGAAAGCATCCAACGCTTCATCCTTGTGATAAAGCATATAGAGATACATATATCGTGAGTAATCATCAATAAAGGTGATGAAATATTTCTGACCACTAGAGCTCATGTCAGGGCAACAAATATCTGTGTGTATGATTTCTAAAAGTTCAGAACTCTTCTTGGCACCCTTCTTGGATTTGTTAGTCTGCTTTCCCTTAATGCAGTCTACACAAGTATCAAAGTCAGTAAAGTCAAGAGTTTCAAGAACTCCAGCATTTACCAACCTTTTAATCCTATCAATGGAGATGTGTCCTAATCTCCTATGCCACAAAAAGGAAGAGTTTTCATACATAATAGTACGTTTCATACCAGTGTTAGCATGTGAAGTCATAAGACTATAAGGAACAGTATCACTTAAATGAATTTTAAACAAACCATCAACCAAAGTACCATTTCCAACAATAGATGAGTTCTTAATTAAATTAAAAGAACTACCATAAAAGTTGAAAGAGTATCCACATGGTACAAGTTTAGAAACTGAAATTAAATTCCTAGAAAAACTAGGAATATAAAAGGTTCGTTCCAAATCCAAAACATAATTAGTACTTAAAATAAGTCTAAAAGTTCCAACAGCTTCAACACGTGAAGGCATCCTATTTCCTGAATAGATGCTGCATTCACTTCCCAATGGCTTCCTTTGATCCAGAAAACCCTGTATGGTATTAGAAACATGGATTGTAGAACCAGAATCAATCCACCAATCATTATGTGAAACACAAATCATATTAGATTCATAACACACAAGAGATAAGAGGTTACCTTTCTTATCAAGCCAGGCTTTTCTCTTAGGACAATCCTTCTTCATGTGTCCCGTCTTTTTACAGAAGAAACACTTGATATTGTCCTTATTACCTTTGCTCATAACCTCATGCAGCTTGCCTTTTCCCTTCCACTTCTTATTCTTATTTGAAGCGTACTTGACATTTCCTGTCACCAGATGTGCAGTTTCATTCACTTCCTGAAGCAGTCTCTCCTCCTCCTGAACAC